GCATCTTTGGGACAGCCCAGGCCCAAACAGGGTGGCTGCATGTGGCTGCGAGAACACCCTTACATATAAGACATCAACCAGGACCCCCCCCCCCCTCCCAACTGCTTTTCCGCATGTCCAAAATCCCCAAGTGCTGTGCAAAAAGCAGTGGTTTGGCGGGGGGGGGGGGGGTGCAGGAAGGGGTCCTCTGGTTCCTTTGTTCCAGCCAACTTCCTGGTGAAAGCAAACATAGCTCACACGCCCATTGCGTGCAGCGTGGCGGGTAGCAAGCCCCCTGACTTGGAAAACGGTGAATTTCTGAAGCCTCGGTTGGCGTGGTTCAACCAAACCAACTGTTTCAGCTTTTTGGACACTTGACCATTCCCCACTAGCAAGTAAAAGGTTGAACCGGGGTTCAAGGGCAATTCCGAAGCTCTGGGTTTCATAATTTGGCGAAGCTTTCTGAGTCGTCCTTTTTCGTTTAGTTTCGCTAGAAATAGATGGGTTCCACTGTTTAGACAAATTTTATGCCCCAACCTATTCAAAGAACACCTATGTTTCTAAGTCGTTCGGGGTTCCATGGGGGGAGATAAATCCACGAGGTCACCAAGGAGAACGCCGGTGAGGTTGAGAGGATCCTATCACAAGGTGGGTTTGTGTCCGTCCAGGGGCCAGCTCTCTTCTCTGAACCGGTGCGTTTTTGTTTGCTTGCTGGTGCGATAGGTAGGGAATGACTTTCCGGGTTTTTGGCAATCCCTTAAAGGAAACCATAGGGGATGGTTTATTGGGGTCATTCAATCATTCCTGGCTGGGAACCAGCAAGTTGTAGGTGTCGGCTTTTGGGCCCCTCACGGAGCTGGCTTTTGTAGCGGTGATGTTTTGACACCAAGATGGGGACACTGGGATACTGGACCCAAAGCGGTTGGGCGTGCTTCTAGTTGTGGGCTTCTACTAAATTTGGTTCCCCAACACCCATCAGCAAAAAAACAAGTTGGCGTCGTCAGTACCAAATCGGTTTTGATGGGAAAATACGGGACACAGTAGGGTCAAGCAAAAGATCAGCAGTGTACACTGCAGGTTGCATTAAAGTCAATGAACTCTCAAATGTGTCCATGTCCTCAACGTCAACTGCTTATTTGGACCGCTCACGAGTTTAATTCGAGGATCAGCCTGCAAGGAGACCATTCAGCCCACAAGCTCCCTTCGACAGCCATTGCGCGTTGCTGTATCGAAGACCGTGCGTTGCCCGGGATATGCTGAACACATTGTGCTCTTTGCAAAGTATTGTGTTTGCGAAGACATGTATCTAAGTTGCCTGTGAGGGTCCACTTTTCACGCGTGGGCCGTGCAGCTTTTGGGGGCTGATCAAAAGGTCCATTACATGGGGTGACCATGAGGGCAACCCACCAGAAAAGATGACGTTCCCCACTAAATGGGAAAAGTTATGCGTGGTCATTTGGGGGGCCAGAAATATTGATCAACCCCCATTTGATTCATGTGGAACGATTGGGGTCCGCCTATTTTGACGCGTATACCGTGCTGTGTATCCACATATATTTGTATATACACACGTGTTTACACAGACTGGTATTTCTACTGGGTGGGTCAATCATCAAGCTTTGTCTTGCTGGTTCAACCATCCCGTGTCGTTTCCTTTGCGTGGATCCAAAACGGTTCATTCTCAAACCCCTTCTTGATTCCCTACTCGTACTGAGAACCAGCAAGTTGCTTCTTATAGTGGTTTCCCTCTTGAGATGCACAGAGAAACGGTAAGCTACGCAAGGTTGCATTTTCGCACCAGCACGAAGAGAACATAGAACATGATCCTGCAACAGGTACTATGGCTACCAGTTTTGGTTGGTTGGTTGGTTGGTTGGTTGGTTGGTTCGTGGCCAGCGCATGTTAGCGAGGCCAGGCCCGCGCTTCCCCCCCGGCCGAAGCTTGGGGTTCAAGCCGGCCGGAAACTAGATGCAGCCAAGACACAGGCCACACCATGGGCGAGCGAGTCAACCCAAGGGTGGCGCAAGCGTGGAAAACAGCAAAGCAAGTAATGCCGACGCTGGGGCCGCGGAGGGCCACGCAAGGGCCAAGACAGGAAGTGCAGGAAGGCCACGAGAAGGCCATGACGGGGCCGAGACAGGAAGCAAGGTAAGCAAGGTAAGGCCACGCAGGGCCACACATGCCATGCGGGGCCGCAGAAGGTTGCGCAGGGCCCAAGACAGAGAGAGCAAAGGCCACGCGAAGGCGACAGAGGGTCGGAGCAAAAAGAGGAAGCAGAGAAAGGCAAAGTATGGCCACACGGGGCCGAAGAAGGCCATGCTGGGGCCAAGACAAAAGTCCCGCAAGGGTCCAGCAGCCAAAGACGGAAGCAAAGTAAGCAAGACCCGCAGGGGGCCACGGCCACGCAAGGGCCAAGACAGGAAGCAAATAGAGCAAGTAAGGCCACGCAGGGGCCACAGAAAGCCACACAGGGGCCAAGACAGGGTTCAAAGTAGGCGAAGCAAGGCCATGCGGGGGCCACACAAGCTCACGCAAGGGCCAAGACAGGAAGCAAAGTGAGCAAAGTAAGGCCACGTGGCGGCCACGGAGGGCCACGCGTGGGCAAAGGACAAAGTGAGCAAAGTAAGGCCAAGCGGCGGCCACGGAAGACCACGCAGGGGCCAAGACAGGAAGCAACGTGAGCAAAGTAAGGCCACGCGGCGGCCACGGAAGGCCACGCAGGGGCCATGACAGGAAGCAAAGTAAGCGAAGCAAGGACACGCGGCCACAGAGGGCCACGCAGGGGCCAAGACAGCAAGCAAACAAGTGAGCAAAGTAAGTCCACGCGGCGGCAAAGTCAGGCCACGCGGCGGCCACGGAAGCCCACACAGGGGCCAGGACGGGAAGCAAAGTAATTGGGCGAAGCAAGGCAACGCGGGGCGGCCAAGACAGCAAGCAAAGTGGGCAAAGTAAGGCCACGCTGCGGCCACGAAAGGCCACGCAGGGATGACAGGAAGCAAAGTAGGCGAAGCAAGGCCACGCGGCGGCCATGGAAGGCCACGCAGGGGCCAAGACAGGAAGCAAAGTAGAAAGTGAGCAAAGTAAGGCCACGCGGCGGTCACGGAAGGCCACGCATGAGAGGAAGCAAAGTAGGCAAAGCAAGGCCACGCGACAGGAAGCAAGGTAGGTGAAGCAAGGCCACGCGGGGGCCACGGAAGGCCATGCAGGGGCCATGACAGGAAGCAAAGTGGGTGAAGCAAGGCCACGCGGGGGCCACGGAATGCCACGCAGGGGCCATGACAGGAAGCAAGGTAGGTGAAGCAAGGCCACGCGGGGGCCACGGAAGGCCACGCAGGGGCCATGACAGGAAGTAGGTGAAGTGGGTGAAGCAAGGCCACGCGGGCCACGGAATGCCACGCACAGGCCATGACAGGAAGCAAAGTAGGTGACGCAAGGCCACAGAAGGCCGCAGAAGGCTAAGAATGAGGGAAGGTAGGCACTGTCGCGCTGACGTCTGGGAGGGCAGGGGAGGGGGTGCTCGTCGGGAAGAATTCCCTTAGTGCCGCCCCCGGGGGTCCTCGCCTCCCCGAAGAGCGCCAACCCAGTGAAGCAACGTCAGGCCCCGGGGGGGCTACCAGTTTTTATGGGGAACCGCCTCAAAATTATTGAACATAAATGTGCATGTCAATCAGGTTCACCAATGGGCCCACCACCAAACATCATACCCACATGCTAGTGGGCGAAAAAAGCGCGGTGCACGGAAGTGTAGTTGCGTGAATCTGTTTTTGACTAGGTAGCAATCAGGACTGGTGCCTCCAAAATTGCTCTCGAACGCCTTGCTCCCGCCAAAGATGGAAATCCAATGAGGTACCCCGTGACCAAAAGAAGACCCCTCAACGCATGAGTGTCCGGAAGTACACGGGAAGACTAGGATGCTTGACGTTTGCGGGGCGCTGTTTGCATGTTGGTGCTTCTATTTATATTATGGTTTGGCTGTTAAGTAATTTGAGCACTGGTTTTCCTCGTATTGCAGTTCTGTAGTTTGGCCGAAGGTTTGGATTTCATTAGTAGCATTCGGACACCTCAATTTTCTGCACCCTTGTTTTTGGGCACAGGTCTTTGCCTTTTACCAGCAACCCCCCCGTCCAACTGCTTTTTCCCACGTGTGGGTTGATCAATATTCCTGGCCCCCAAGTGACCATGGGCAACTTTCCCTGTTCAGTGGGACATGTCATCTTTTCTGGTGGTTTTCCCCAATGGTCATCAACCCCCAAGTCCCAGCTCGTTCTCTTCGGGCTCGTGTCATCGATGCCTCGATGCGCATAGGGCAGCGCCCGAACTGCGCGCTGCGGGGCACGCCGCTGCTGTGCATCGCAGCGCGGCAGGGGCAGATGGAGGTGGCCCGGTTCTTGGTGGAGGCCGCCCGGGCCTCAGTTCTTGCGCCGTGAGCCGACTTCTGTCTGACTCTTTTTGGAGGGATTTCCCTTGTTCAAGGAAAACCTGAGGTGTTTCCCTTGACATGTTGTTTTATGGTTTATCGTTTTTGCAAGTAATCTGAGGTGCGTCCCTTGACATTATGTTTCGATTTGTGTTGTTGCTTGTTTCTTTCTTTGCTGTTTTCTTCAGGTCACCAGGATGGCTTATCCATTTTGGGAGACTTCAACCACAACCAGGGAAATCCTCCCAATCGGTTCTGGGTTAGTCTTGAACTGCTGGATGTGTCTGGGGGTTATCAAAAAGCCAGCTGGGGTTGTTCCCCTTTAATGGTGGAACATGATTGATAAACCCGCCCTGATTAAAGACGTCCGGTTTCCCCAGACCATTTCCAGGCAATACTACTTTAAAGGCACCCACATGGTTTTGCCAAAAAACACCCCTTAATTCTTTGGGGGCACCTCTAAAACCCCCCCCTGATTAAAGACGTCCCCCAATCTCCCAGAAAAAATCCTGAAGCAGCAGCCAGCAGTAGCATCCTTTTCCTCATGACTCAGCCCTTCCTCAAAAGCCACCACCTGGCCCCAGCAATTGGAAACCTACAGGGCTGCTACTCAACAGATACTACCAGAAGATTCTGTTTGAATTAGGCCAAGGGCTCCTTTTTCTGAAAAGTTTGCATTCCCAAACAGCCAATTTCTTTACCACAACCTGTTTAAGAAATGCAGGTTTGCCAAGGCCACAAAGGGTACCCCCCTTCAAGGCCTGACCCCCCTAAGAAGAGAACCCCCCCCTGATTAATCAAGGGGGTCTCTGCCCCTCCTCAAAAGCCACAACCTGGCCCCAGCAATTGGAAACCTAAAGGGCTACTACTCAACAGATACTACCAGAAGATTCTATTTGAATTTGGCCAAGGGTCCCTTCTTCTGAAAAGTTTGTCTTCTAAAACAGCAAGTTGCAGGAGCCTGGCAGCTGATCAAAAACCTCAAGCCTCCAAACCTCAATCCTCAGGCTTCTCAAGCTTCGAGTCCTGCAGATCAAGTATTAGGGGGAGGCCCCAGGGGAACCCCCAAAATCTGATTTTCCCAAACCTTGTCAACCTTGAGGGGGGGGGGGCGGGTTTATTAATCAAGTTCCACCATTAGCCTAGTCACCACTGAATGGGGGTGACTTTAATGGTGACATAATCGGCCAGTTGTTTTTGCTTTGCAACGAAGCTGAGGCGTTTCCCTTCACAATCAATCCAAGGGTGCCCTTTTGCTCATGGCCGCTGAGGCTCGGGCTGGCGCTGGGCCGTTTTTTGAGGGTACTTGCTGTCAAAGGAAAACGAAGTGGTTTTAAAGGAAGGAAGCCAACATGCAAAATGAAAGCCACGCGGACACAGATGAGGCAGCAGACGTGAACCTCGGGGATTGCATGGACGAGACGCCCTTGATGCGGGCAGTGCCCCGGCTCGCGATTTTGGCATGTTGCAAAAGATTCTAGGGGCATCACCAGGCGCCGTTTTGAAAGTTGGCACAAAGTTGACGTTGGACGTTTTTTTTTTGGGGGGGGGAACGCAACATCGACCTAAAAGCAAGCAAATCAGGGGTGAATGAGTGAATTATTCTAAGGCGCAAAGGCATTTGGTTTGTTGACCACACCCATAGGTTCCTGTCATAGGGGGTGCCCCTTATTTTGGTCTTGTTTTTTTTTTCACGTGAGCCAAGGCTGGCTAAGGGCTCGGCAAATGGAGTCGGTGAGAAACAAAGATGGAAGCACGTCCTTCTAAACTTCACTTAGACTTTGGTGGGACATAGACCAGACATAGATGGTCCTGGTTTGAGCTTGATTCAAACAAGAAAAACCGTACGTGCCTATTTATTCAAACGTACAACGATGACTTCATTTTTCGCCTGGGACTTTTGCAAGTCGAGTTGTCCAAAGGACAATTGGTTGCAAAGATTGCAAGCGTAGGCTCGTGCCGGGCATTTGGACATGGTGAATTTCTTGCTCGATGAGAAGGCGGAGATCAATCAATGCGACTGCCAGAAGCTTGCCAAATTGGGCTCGATGTACGAGGGCTGAAACAAATGATTCCGTTTACCTATACTGGGTAACCAGGGGCACCACAGTTTGAACAAAAACAACATCAAAATAGCTGATTACCTTTGGTGGTAACCGGGCTCTACTGCGTTAACTACCGCCGGTGATTTGAATGGTCCTCCGGATTGATCTAAGGTTCGGCAATTAAAATTGGGGGTTTGAGCAACTTGGGGTTGACAAAATGGATCACCTCCTTTACAGCTTGATATTGCTACAACTTGACAGCGGGGTCCCAAAAGGGGGGCTATGTTTGCACATACGCGCACACACACACACACCAAAAATCACAGTAAACCCTCAGACTTGCGTTTGTGTGCAGCTGTTCAAGCATGTTTTGACATCTCGCAACTGCAAGGGGAATTGTTCCTCATAAGCAGACACACACACACACACATCCACACATCCACATTCCCAGCACCTCCCAAGCCTGCTGTGCCAAAATCCCAAGTACTGTCCAAAAAGCAGTGGTTGAGGGGTGCTGGCCTCAAATGTTTGTTTCCAAAAAGCAGTGGTTGAGGGGTGCTAGTCTCAAAGCACATTCGATGCGTGTGTTCCGCAGCATCATGATGGGTGAATCCGCGAATTGGTTCCAGGCTTCCGGTTTGCCGGTTGGATACTTAGGGCCTTGCTTTCCCCAGCATTTTCCGTTGCCACAACGGTGGCTTCGCAGGCTCCCAATGAACCCCTAAGCAGGTTGATGAATCTTGGGTTCAACAGGACCTCTCAGGCCACGTGGTTAACCGGGACCGAAACGAGTCACGAATTCAGCGGTTCCGATCTACAGGAGTTACTAGGAACCCTGGTTGCAGCCCAAAGCCATGGCAATTCCCTTTCCAGGGTTACTAAGCATGTGGGTACCCCACCAATCAACATGGAACCTGATAGAGGGCTCCTGGATTGGCCCCTTTTCCTTCAGGCCCCCGGACCCCCCCAAAAATGGGGCGTATACCAATTTTGATGGTTCCAAGTGGTTAAGATGTGGATTTTGATGGTTCCAAGTGGTTAAGATGTGGATTTTGATGGTTCCAGGTTTAATGTCATTAACTAGTGGACCATGGACAGCTAGTTCAGGTTGAGAGTTCCGGCCATGAGTCGGCGGGAGGGCAAGTCCCGGACCACCCACACGGCGCCGCGACTCCGAGGGACGCCAACGCGTTGATTTGGGCGGCCCGCGAAGGCCGGGAGCACGTGACCAAGCGCCTGATCCTGGTGAAGGCTGACATCCGGAAGGCCTGGAGGGTTCGGAAGTAAGCCCTTGATGCGGATATATATATATATATGTATATATATATATATATCTGTACACATTGTTGTTATTTCTTGTTTTTGAGGGGTACCAGTTTTGGGTTGGTTTAAAGGAAAACCAAAAGACCCCTCTTCTTTTGCCACATGTCCATTGAACCTACATTGCTTACCGGAGGAGTTTCATCATCTAAATTGCGTCAACTTTTTTTGGGGGGGAGGGAAAAGCCTAGACTTAAGAGGAACGTTGTAGGTTGTGGACTGTCAGGTTCATTGTTCCAAGCCCTTGTACATGTTTCAATCAGCAGGTCCCAGGGTTTGACCCCCACCAGCAAAGTTGTTTTTCTGGAGAAGTGGTTTCAAGTGACCGTTGTTGTTCTTTTCTCGGAGAATGGGTCTGCAAACAAAACTTTATTTTTCTTATGAGTGTTCCTTATGTGTTTTTTTGTTCTTCTTTTTTTCAGGTATTAATACAGGGATTCCTCTTGTCCCCAACTTTTAGTCAAACTTGGGTTTGGGGCTTTCCTGACAAAACAAAGTGGCAACATGCATGTGTTTGTTTTTTATTCTTTCCTCGATTTTTGGATTCCATGAACCAACAACGCAAGTGCCAACATGTGTTGGAAATCCCACTAAAACAAAACACAATGCCAAGCATCGAGTGCCGAGAGAGCTGAGAGTTTGTGACACGAGATCTCATCCCAAGTCCAGGAGACCAAGCAGAAGGCCACGGCGCTGGTGTCTGCCGCTGGGGCTGGGCATTGCGCGGTGCTGCGATGCTTGCTGGACGCCAAGGCGGAGGCGACTCGGAGGGCGGATCCGAGTCGAGTCGGGTTTGGTGTCGGTTGGCTTGCGGTGGGCGATAGGTACTGTGGATGGTTGCGAAATCCATCGCGCACCACTTTCAAAACATGTGAGACCATTGTTTGCTGGGATTTACGGGGGAATCATTATTCCAGGGTTTCTTAGGTGGTGCAGGATTTCGTCCATCCACAGTAGGGAATCAGTTGGAATGAACTGTTTGGGATTCCTTTAATGGAAACCACAAGTTGGACGTCCTTAAAAACGCGGCCATGGTTTTGAAGGGCCCTTGAGTAATTGGTCGCTATGCTGAATCTCCATTTGTGTATAAGAGGGGCATGACCATTCGGGTCCCTGTGATTTTCTCTCGGTTTTTGGCTCAAGGGTTGAACCGTTTCACTTGCGGGGCAAGAATTGAATCCCCCTACTTGTTTGAAAGGGTTTAATTTGTTTGCGTGTCAAAGGTGTCAAAGATGAATCCACATGTCTGCTGGTTTTGAGGATCACCTTTGGTTGCCCATGTCCAGTGAGTTCCTTTTGACAGGGTGATGCTTGAAGGGGAAATGCGGGCAAAGCCGCATTGCACACCTATATTGTTTTGCTTCATGGAGACGCAATAGCCTGCCGCCGCCCCCCCCCCCCCCACAGCTGGAAACTTAGAGTCTACGCTTACAAGGGTCCGTGTCTTTAGAAGGTATGCCTGAAGAAATTACGATTGTACAGAGAAACCCAAGGAAAGTCACCAATTAGGGGGGCTCGATTCCTCAAAAAACGACGCACCCATATGTACCGCCACCTTCAGGTTTCGTCTTTTCTGGGTTGTCCCATGAAAAGGACTCAAGGTCTTGAGATTCAAGTCACAACAAGAGCTGTAGGCCACTTTAGCAACATAATGCGACCGCCACTACCCGACCGCTTTCGGACTTGGGATTTTGGACATGCGAAGAAGCAGGGGAATGAATGGAGGTTTTTACACAGCATGGTTCAAATTTATGTTGCCACTTTCACGGCGCTCCGAAACGGGACGTGGTGATTTTTTTTGGGCATCAAATCGGGCTCTGAGTTGTTTGAAGGTGCGCAGGGAACATCGTACCAGTGGGCAACCAAACTGAGGTTGTTTAAACACTCGTACGCGGTCTTTACAGCTGTACCAAAACGAGGGTTTGGGCCCGATGGAGAAACATTGGGGCAGCCAGCAGAGAGGTTAACTCTGAACGCTTCGATCAGAACCTTTTCCAACTCCCATTTGCTTAAGAATATGTTATTTGTGGTTCGTTGCGCTTCCCTGATGATCTTAAACGGAATCTATCACTACAGGAAGTATGTTGTTTCTCTGTGGGACTTATGCAAATGGAGGCTAAGAAGGTTCTTTTCGGACCTTTCCGGCTGGCTTTGGGATCCTGGGCGTTTCTCCCTCTGACAGGTCGAATCAGTCGATTCGTCCATGAAAACCACTGCGCAGGCGAATCAGAGGTGCTACCACGGAGCTTCTGCCTTGATGTGGACGGCCGAAGAGGGCCAACTGGAGGCAGGATCGAACCTCTCCAGGGACAAACAAAATGGAACGGGCTTGTGGGGTACTTCAAAGCATGTAAAACTAGATTCGCAGATTACTATGGGGTTTGTGTGTGCGCCGCCTGCATTACTTGGATGTTCAGGTTTTGCTTTGCAAAACGTGTGTCAACCAGACCCCGAAGAGTTTACTGAAGCAACATGGTAAGCATGTGGCAAAGCCAAGGCACTCGTATGTAGGTAAGCCTCAAACTAACTTGTTGATAGCTTCGCCAAGCCCGCTTTTTGTTCTATGCTTAAATCCCACCAAGTGAGTTTAACGACCAAGAATACAGGGTTCCCTGCTCTGCGTTTTGGCGGTTTTAGCATTTGCGCCAATGTAATGCCCCGCTACATGTCCCCTTTTGGTGGTTGCTTTCGACACCACAATCTGGGCGAATGCCAAGCAAAATTGTTGAATTAAACTGAGACATAAGAAACAAGAAGCATCTAATCCACAACTCGAATTGGGCGAGCGCAGCCATCGGCAGGATTGCATTTCAGTTGGGAAACTAGAGGCTCACTCCGACGGTGGAGCACTGCAAGGGAGCCCTTCATCTCCTTTGAATCAGTGCTTCAAGTATTTTTGGGGTCCGGACCCCGAGAAGATCGGGAGCCACTCAAAGACTTGTGTCCCCCGGCAACAATGCTGACAGCACTTTGGCACCCAGAATTCTCAAGGCCCCGGAAGCCTAAACAGTCCAAGATCCTTTGGAGCGATCATATGTTATGTTCCCTGGCGTGTTTGTTTGACAGCTTTCCGCATATCGCTTTGTTACTTGTTGGGGGCGCCCGCTTCTCCCCATTTCGTGGCCTGCAAGCTCACCTGCAACATGAAGGTTCTCTGCTTGGGGATTCCCTTCCTTCCCACTCCCTGAGTTCCTGGGCTTGACTCTTTCTGAAAAAAAACGATGATTTTTTTAGTTAAATGCACTCCGCTCCAGACCTTATTTTGGGGGGCCAATCCACTCAGGGAAGTATGGTAACTTGATACAATCCCCGAGAGTCGTTCCGGCATGGCCACCTCGCTCTTCTCAGGGCTCATTGCCCCAGGAAGCTCGCGGAGAACAGACAAATGGGTGCTTCTCAAACTAGCAGTCGCCTAAATTCGATGGTTTCCTGTTGGCTTCCCTTTCACTATCAACCAAAAAGGGTCCACGATTTTGAGAAACCTTGAAATCTATCTCATTGAGGGTGGAAACAAACGACTGTGTAGTTCACCATGGTTGGCAAGCTGGTTTGCTAGCTTCTGTGTTGGGATCCACCCTACTGGGGGTCGCCTTGGGGAACAAGAAAGTCGATCCATCTATTGGCCTTGCCACACAACAAGTTGTCGTTATTGCAAGCCCATTCATTGTGTTGTGTTCTAAAACACTTACCATCTTGGTAATCCCTTCTGCCCTGATATTAAGCGTGACCCCTAATAACACATTGTTTCTCGACAAAGGCACATTTTGATTGTTGGCGGGACCTTTATTATTAGGAAGAAGGGATTAGAACCAAACATGGTGTCGGCCGGTGATCCACTCATCCCAAGTGTGCCTTTGCAGAGGCAGCGCAGTTCCTGCTGCAGGCAAGGGCCGATGTGGACCAGGACTGTCCGCTTTCAGGGCGCGTCTGAAACGGGCTAGATGATTGCCATGTCCATCCCTTGATGCCGTTGGAGTTTAGTGACTAGCCGGCGAAAGGAACTTTCGGAGATGGGGATGTTCATAGCTTGTCGTGAAATGATAAGTTGAGCAAATAGCAGCTTCGCAAGCACCAGCCAGATAACTACAACGCTTAGCGAGGGAGGAGGCGTCTTCTCGAGGCAAGTCATGCTCGCATGTTCCATGAGATGATGACCCCAAGGAGACTTGAACCCAATCCGAAGTACGCCATGTTGGACCCCAAGTAAGAATGTAGTCTCTGGACGAGTGTATGACACCTCATCTTCCCTCTCAGCTGAAATATGATGGCTTATACATCCTGTCTGCTTGGGTGGGGCTGGCAGTTGAAGGTAGCGGTTAATCCTCTTGACCGCAAACCCTTCTTTGCCCCAACGCCCCACAAAGCGACAAACGCTCGCAACGGACGGAACGCCTGGGTTGTCGGCTCTTTTCTTGGGTCCCCTACTGTTTTGTTTCCCAGTTTTACCTCCCACCGAAGTGCAACAGTAGGTTAAAACGACCTTTTCCGGCCCCTTGCGGAGAAAAGCCCAAAGAAGCAAAAAAGCCCAAAGGAGCAAACGGACCAAGGCTTTGGGAGTCCAAGCCTTGCGCAGCTGCGCCAAAACATCAAGTGAGCCACGTGCTCAAAACCGATTCGGGTAGATGAATGTTAGGGGCAGTCCCAGCCGGAAATAGTTGCGGATATCCGCAAATTTTAATTCTTGAAGCATGGTTCTGGGTTCAGCATTTGTGTACCAGGTTGTGAATTGTAGGAGGACGAGCAGAGCTCCAGCGCGCTGCACTGGGCAGCGGAGGCGGGCCACGAGGCGGTGGTCGAGCTGCTGCTGGCCGCACGCCACTCGGCGCGTTCGTTAGGCGTGGCTCGCTTTTCATGCTGCGCTAGCGAGGGAATGCCTCCATTTGCTGAAGAATATCTTTTTCATTTTCCCTTGTTGGTTTTAAAAGGAGTTCAGTACTAATGGACATATTTGTTAATTTTTCCTGGGGGCCTGAACCAAATGGAAAAATTAGAAATGGATCGACCTCTATGAACCATTCCCTATGGTTTCCGGTTTAAGGGAATCCCCAGGTGCATTCCGAATGCTGGTGCAATAGGCGGGGAGTGAGAAATGGATTGACCTCCTAGGTCCCCCAGCTAGGTGCCCTTTTACCGTTTCTTTTTTGTGGGAGGGTTCCCCTACTAGAATAGACAACAGAAAAAAGGGTGCCCTTATTCCAACCTCTCTACTGGAGGACCTAGCCTCTGTGAACCATCCCCTATGGTTTCCTTTGAGGGAATCCCCAAGTTCATTCGCACATTGCCTACTGAGTACCAGGAAGTTTTTTCGGAAGCTCGCCGCGCTGGCGGTCGATAGGCTCGGAAGCGGAATTGATCTGCGGAGGTTTTGGAGAGAAAGGAGAAGGGCATATGGACGAACATACTGGAGATTCATTTAGGAATTGTACAGGAGAAGATGGAGTTGCTTTCAAGCGGTTCCAAGCGGTGCCCATTAATTTGGGGTGAACGTAGTGTTGCTTTGTGTTTTGAGTTGGTGTAAATTTGGGCTTCGTGCAATGGGAAACCGGAGAGCAAGCATGCATGTTGAGTGCTGTGTGTCAACACGAGCCGGCTTTGTGCCGAAACCGGGCGAAACCCTTTGGGACATGACACCAACTGTTTTGAAGGGAGTAATTGTAAAAGCCGCCCGCTGCCCGCCTCGGCCAGGCTCCAAAGAAACACGAGAGCGATGCGGGCTTGAGCAACCGATGCCGGGCTGATTCCGGGGCTGATGCACGCCTGGCCCTTGCAAAGCTGGGGCTGGGCGGAGGCAGCTGACAGCTTTGGCTTGGGCCTGGTGCGATGCAGCGTGCATTCCAGGTGCAGGTTCGTGGCCGATGGCTGGGGAGCTGTGTGAACGCTCATGCCTGCAGCTGCCTTTTGGGCTGGGGGGTTGGTGATTGTGCTGAGCAGGGAATGGGGCGCTGGGTTGGGAGTAGGTCTAAAAACAGACCTTGCGGCTGGTCGACTGCTTTGGGCATGTTTGGCCAGCCCAGGTGAAGGCCGCAAGAATGGGAGCGGGGGCTTGCGTCAGGGCAGCTGGAGTATGGGTTTTGAGCACGCGAGACGCACGCAACATGGGTCGGGGGGTCCACGGCCCTGAGACCCAAGAATCATCCACTTCAGCCAGGCGGATATTCAGAATCAATCCAAGATAGCGGGAATCCGCAAGAACACCTGTAAAATTCGATTGCGCGCATCCATCCTTCAGATGTTACAATACGATTTGCCCGCTTCAAGTTGTCCCCTAAGTTGCTTATGTTTCTGTTGGTCGTCACGATTCGGCAGCTGGCTGCTGTTGTTGCCCCCGAAAGAACTCTGAAGTGCCCATTTCCCTGTTTTGGCGAAGACTAGATAATGGAATCGGAGGACCCCCCCAGCCCCCTCCCTTTTAAGTTAAGGGAGAATTGTTCACGAGCAAAGCAGCCCTTGAAATTCGCGAAATTCGGACATACCTGTAAGCCATCAGCCGCTCAAATTTGGAAAGGCAATCCGAGGTGCCCCTTGTTGGGCCATGGCGAGGTTTGGTTTGCAGAACCTTTGGACCGGAAAGGTTCCAAGCTCAGCCCCTGTCTCCTTTAACCTTTTAGTGATTCAGGTTGTTGGGGAACAAGGTTGCGTTCTATCGACTACAGCCAGCAAACAGGTTGGTTGTTGAAACTCCATGTTTGGAAACATGAAAACAAGTACCCCCGCATTACCCCGCAAATCAGCTCAAGTGTTTTCCCTTGCTGCGGGTCAGCAATGCTGACCAACCCCAGCTTTGGCAACATCACGGGTTCCCACTGAAACCCAGCCAGAACGACTACCTTCAACCACAGGTCGACTGACGTCAACCCAAACCGAAGCAAAGTGACCAATCCATCTGACCCCCAGTAATACCAGCCCCAAACGAACCAATTCGCAGGTCAACTGGCGCTTGTCACCGCCAACTACATCTAACCACCGAATTCCCGTAGTCCAGCATAAACGACGCCTTTTCCGCTGCTGCCTGGCTTGCAGTTCCACCCCGGCCACGAGCCAGCGATAAGGCGCGTCCATGGAGAAGCGGAACAAGTTCGGGGCCACCGCCCTGAAGCTGGCGCGGGACAGCGGGCAGCTTGCGGCTTGTCCAGTCCAAACCGCCAATCTTTGGCAGGGCTCCTTAAAAGATACATGGTGCCCATTTGAAACATGGTTTTCCTAGCTTGACATTGCGAGTGATCTTGATTGGTCTTAGACTCTTACACTTTGCGGACAATTCAACAACGTTCCAGCCCCCAAGCCCCCAGTCGGGGCAACCTGACTCTTTGGATCTAATGCGCCCATGTAGGGAGGTTTCAAGGGGCACCCCTTGAAGAGAAGAACAACGGAAGAGGGGACACTTTGAAAACGGAAGGAACCAAATGAACATACTACAGCACGCCTTTCTATTCCAGGCAACCCCAAAACTCATAAGCCGATCCAGTCCGATTTGTTTGAACTCCACAAGCCGAATGGGTAAGTGATGTAGCTGGCGACAGATGTGAGCCCTCTTCTGAGAATAGTTTCCTGGTGAGTCTTTCTTGAAGGTGTTGGGTGAATGCTTATCCGAAAACCCCGTAATTGTGTGGATCAAGTGTAGAATTCCCGCAAAGGTTGAACATGTCAACGTAGGGGGGGGACACCAAAAGTTTTTTTCATTTTGGCACCCCTTTATGCAAGGTAAAAAGGGTAGCCTCCAAAAGCACAAGCCCATATCATGGCAAATATTATTTTTTACACTGGTGAATTGAAACAGAAGCCGCCTCGTCTCAGAGTTGGAGACGCAAGGAAGCACTCAAAGTTCTACAAGATGCGGGCGCATCGGCGGACTAGATGCGCCCTGAGACGGAAAGGGACAGCCATCTTAGCGCAAGCTATCGAGTGGCGCGATTCGGGTTGTCGTTGTTGTTCTGAATACCTGTTGAAAGCGTTTTTGGGGCTTCTTGCGGCCCTCAGAATCAACAGCCACGTGCCTTTGTTTTGGAGCACATCCCCGCATTTTGTAGGCCCAACCCGTGAAATCACTCGGCAAATCACTCGTCGCCCGCGGGTTGCCAACCGGCAGCTTGCAGATGTCAGTTACGCTTCCGCAAGCGCAGGCTCGCAGTTGAGTTTGAGGTTGAGACTTTGAGGAGAGCCTAACTCATTGACCAACAGGGAAGCCTTTTGGAAGATGGCGCTACTGTAAGTTACCCAATGATCTCTGCTGGCAGGTATGCGCACGTTAGGCACACAACGCGCAGCCACGCAAAGCACAGGCACGCAACGCATGATTCTGTGTCTGTGCATTGGCGTAGCTGTGTGCAAGCAATTTTACCATCTGTTTGTCTGCTTGTTCGTGGCGTTGTGTGTGTGCGTGTGTGTGCGCGCTTCTTCTCTCTCTTTTTTGAGGGGGGGGGGTCAGCAAACACGGGCCGCCAGCGCGTTGTTGCTATGAATATGAGTACACTAATTCAGGCGCTCACTTGTCGACTCATGCAGGCGTTCAGCCGTAGGTTGCACGAGGCCGCTTGCATACCTCACACTTGCACATGTTAACGGTTAGGAGGAAATAAGGAAAAGGACTGGGCAAGAGACTGGGAGAGAACAAGGAGGAGGAAAAAGAGAAGGGGAGGGAAGAAAAAAGGGTACGGAGAGAAGGGAGCGGGAAGGAAAATGGAAGCACAGAGAAAAAGAAGCGATGTGGGGAGCAGGAGGGATGGAGGAGGAGGGAGAGACAGGGAAAGAGAAAGAGCGCGCAGATGCGCACAGTGTGCAGAAGGGCCTTGGATGTAGAAGGGGCGCGCCCCAGAGGATGATTTTTCAAAGGCGTTTTCTACAGAGGATGATTCTAGAAGGATTTCGGATAGGTTTGAGAAAAACCGAATCGATAATTGTTTGACAAATCAATATTTCAAGATGTCCCATCTCTAACTGGCTAAACAAGTCACAATGTTGACCGCTCCCACATTGCGCACACACACACGTACTGGACGGGACATGGTCAAAATATGAAATGCGCAAGTCTAAGTGGGTGTGTGGGTCTTTGAGTCTGTGGGCTTGTGCCTTCTGTGGCTTTGCGGGTTTGCGGGTCTGTGGAGTGATTGGGTGCGTGAGCATGTGGCATTTGTGCAGGCCACTCCATCATTGCAAGTAGGAGTTATCACACCACAGACAAACCCGCGGTCAACAAGGTTGCATAGCAACTTGTCGGACTGATTGTGCATTTGAATGATTTCACTCGGGTATACATTCATGGGTCGATAGCGATTTGCATGCATGATCTCGCCGCGCATTTGTAGGCATTGGACGGGCTCGCATGCAACGTTCGTACTGTCATAGATACACCCGTGGTTCCCTTCTTTAAAAAGCAGGGGAACTAGTTGACCCGTTTCAAAAGAAAGCCAACAAGAAACTCACCAACGTGAGGGGTCGATTCCAGGTTGTTCACCGGTCCCTTATTCCCTTTTCGTTTGGAGGGTTCCCCGCTAAAACTCAAAAAAGAAGTCCATTTTTCTGCCGGGGTCACTGGGCCCCTGGCACAGGCAAGCGGAGTGTGTGAATTCAAAGAGGTTTGTCCAGCGTGGTTGTTTTGCTTAATCCTTTCTTGAACCAAACACGGAGTCAAGGAGTCTACTGTCTTGAGTTGCTGCCATACAGGCCGGAGCGGCATAGAACCAGGCAAGCCAGCCGAGAGCACACAGACATACACACACAAAAGGCAACTGTTTGCAGGATCTCTTACGCCAAGGTTGTCCTTTTCAGACTGCCTTATTAATCTCTTCCCCCTATTAATAAATACGCCTCCCCCTATTATAAATAAAACACCCCAAAAATGTGTTGTTTTTTAATGGGGTTTTTGGGGTTGGGTTTGCTTTTCCAACAATGTGAGGGTTCACATAGGATTTGGAGGAAATGGATTGAATTGTAAGCTCCGCGAGTAAGCGGTTTAATAAGGAAATTTGATGTATCATTCTATTTGTTTTTCAGTTTACTAGTTGTTTGTTTGCAGCCAGGCAGGTTAATTAGCCAGCATGTACGGGAGAGAGACAGTCGCAGCTAGACAGCTTTTGGGGACATGTTTGCTTTTGAGGGACACCCCAATAATTAAAGGACCCAATTACAAAAAACACTTTGGGGTGCAGCCAGGAGCCAGCTTGTGATTGACTGCTAGACAGTCCAGTGCTCGAGAAGGCAGTGTGGGTTTCAAGACAGCCAGACATGCATTCAGTGATAGGAAGGCAGCCAGCAGGGCACAGCTAGGCAGAAAACTCAAACCAGACAGCATTTTGCTGATCTGGGCGGCAATGGCTGGAGATGGTCAAGGCAGCCAGACTGGTAGCCAGGATGGACGCACCGAGCAGTCCTTGCAGAGCTTCGTGCAGTCCTTGGACCCCAGCCAGCCAGGAGGGGGAGGGGTAGATACAGATCAGACATTGGTGTTTCACAAACAGTAAAGACAGCCAGCCATACAGTCCGCGCTTTGCAGGACAACTACTATGGCTTCTGGGGCGACTCCTTGCGCCACCTGGAGCAAGCCAAGGATGAACAGACGGCCGCAGTCAGGCAGTCAGGCAGTGGTGGAAGCAGGAAATCTGGGTGAGAGCCAGACAGGCTGGACCGCCTTTTTCGTGGATCACCCTTTGCCTCCGGGCACAGACAGAAAGGCAGCCAGACTGCTATATATATGTATACATGCAGGTGTTTGACATCTGAAGCTAATTAGCTGTTGTTGATGTTGTTGTTGCTTTTCTGGTTTGAGCTGCACTGCTGGGAGTGCTTCTTTTGGAGCCAGCCAGGCAAGACAAAGACAGCTAGGTCAGCCTAGCTGGGTGCAGCTAGCCAGGCAGGCAAGGCAGCCAGGGCGGAGTAAATGTGGTTTGGGTCCCCATAACCCCTACAAAAAGAGGGACAGCCAGGCAGAAAGGATGTTTCGTAGTTTTTTTGGGCAAGCCCAGGACAGAGCTCTGACAGACCGCAGCCAGGTGACAAACGCAGTCTGCAGCCAGTTCTTTTACCCCCTTCGAACCCTTTGCGGAGGCACTGGTTTCCTTAATATCCCCCAAAGCATTGAAACTTGTTTGCATTGAAGTCAGGGAGTCAGGGACAACCAGGGGCAACCTTTTGGGGAGAGAGTCAGGACAACCTTTTGGGGAACCCACCAAAAGGACCCAACCTTTTGGGGAAGCCAGCTTTTGGGGAAGCAACCTTTTAGGGAATTCGTTTTTTGAGCCCACCTTTTTAAAAGTGGGGCTGGAAGCTTGTTAAAAGTGCCCCCTAATAAGGATTCCAAGACTTTAGTATTGGTTTAGTATTGGCGCAATGGAAAATCAATTGTGCGGAGTGGAAATCTGGTTCCGGCCCCGGATTTCCATTTTTTATTAATGGGGGTCCTTCATTAATAGGGGGAAGAGATTAGGAACATGTGTGGATTTGCTGCAAAAGACCACCCTCACTCACCCAAGACATACCGACACACACAGACATCTACAACAGACCTCCGGCTAAACACAGGCATACATGCCTGTCGCTGAGCAACCCACACACACAGACACATGTGTAACATAGCTAACGTGCAGACAATGATAAGTGCGGAATGGTACCGGTTTGCTCCTCCACATCAACAGACTCCTCGGCATTCACATGAAGTAAGAGTGTCAACATGGGGGACGGGTGCAGCATTTTTCGTGTTTACATGCAGAGCCTTCTGTGCCCAGGTCATGCAACCGAACCGTCCCTGGGGCAAACGCCCTGAACCATTTGGACTCTGAAAAACAGGAGCCTCTCAAGACATGCTAACTAGACACCACTAAGCCAGGGCGTTTGCCTTGGGAGAGGCTAATGCGACCCGCCCAGCGACGGTGAATTGGCCGCCAAAGGGCAAGACATGCCAGGGATCCGCAATCCTTTGGTGAAGCCATCCCGTTTCACTCACTCTTCCAGTTTGATCCATATCTGCTGACAAAATGGCCGGTTTGAGGGGGCTCGATGGAATCATGACTCTTCATTTCCTCTTGCTTCAAAGGATGCTGTTCATGTGCCCCAAAACGAATCCCACACCATAAGACCTGAGAGCCTGTAGCGATTGGCTTGAGCTGAGGGAGGTTTGGATGGGAGTTGTCAAAACTTGGCATGCGCCAAACTGAGACTGAAACCAGCACAAAATGTCTGAGTTGACCTGTAAATGAGTACCAAACTGAAACGAATCAGATCTGTCCATGTTCGAACAAGCTGACAAGGCTGGCTTTGATAGGTGGGTTCCCTTGACCCCTGATCATTGCTAGTTCGGTATGTCGAAAAGAGTCCACTGCTATAGAACAGCTTTGAGGGCATCTGGCTTGGCGAAATGCCTTGAAGGATTCCAGGGTGTCACAAGTTCCGCCACTTGCTGGGCGATGGGTGTTTCGGTAACCTACCGGACCAACCAGTCAAAAAAGGGCCCGAATGCAAATAAATGTCGCACCCATTCTGAATTGAGGAACCCATCATTTCCAACCGAACACGGATTGCTACCCGATGAGCATCTTGCCCTGGCCCGGCTATTGGCCTTTCAATGGCCCAAAGTTTGGCTGGACGATGTGCGGGGGAGTGACTTCTCCGGTCATTTTAGGGCTGGGCTCTCAGTTATGGACTCCAATTTGGGGGCTAAGGAGGGGACCATCCCTTATGTAACCATTTTAATTCCTTATATTGGTAAAGCCATATTAAGGGCTTATCCTTGGTTTATAATCAGCTTATCCAGGGATAGTCCCCCCCCATAGCCCGCCCCCCGGTAGGTCCCCCGGTCCATGACTCAGGGATATTCTCAGTACTTTTGGCCAGTCCAAGATACTGTGGATGGGCACAATCCTGCACCAACCTACGAAACCATGGAATGATGATTCTCCTATAAATACCAACTAACAATGGTTGCCGTGGTTTGAAAGTGGAGCAGGATTTCGTCCATCCACAGTGTGAGGACCTGTTCGGCCCATTTTGCTAGAACATTGATAGGGTCATTTTGCATTGCTAAGCACCTGTTTGAACACGTTTGAACAACTGCCCTCCTGTTCCCAAACATCGAACCGGCCGCGGGGTCCCTTTCAAGGGAGATAATGTTTCACTACCCCTCGGTCAGGTTCCATGTTAGTGGACAGGAAGTAGGGACAAACACCCACCGCATCCCTGGTTGAATCTCTCGCAAACCAACCACAAGCCATGGCGCATTGCTGGGTTTGCCTCGAGTCCACTGCAAACATGGCATTCCCCGCGTGGGCAAGCAATCCTTGCAGTAAACACGTCAGCATGGAGAGTACCCGTCGGATCATGAAGGCCTATTTTCCGAGACTGGTACCTCCTGGGAGGTTTGGTTTTCTACAAGGCAGTTCTTTGCATTGATGTTTGCGAAAAGATATGTGCAAAGCCGACAAAACAAAAATGAAAAGCACTAAACAACAGCCTTTGTAGAAAACCCATCATTGATAGATCTGAAATTCGCAAGGTGTGCCGGGTTAGTGGCAGGAACGGTCATTATCTCGCTTGAAAAGGTCCCTGGTCAACTTTCATTGTTGTTGCAAAGAGAGAAAACCACATCCCAGCGCGCCCCAACTTGCCTGCTTTTTCAACCATGTCCAAAATCCCTTCGATGCGGCAACCAAAACGCAGTGGTTGGGCGTGCTGGTTGTGGTTTGGGGTGCTGGTCCAAGTTGTTTGGGTGAAAGGAGGTTTCTCATCACACGTTTGACTGCTGGTTCCCGATTTTCGGTGCGTTCCAAATTCCAGCGACATTGCTAGGCGGCCATTGGGCATTGTCTTTGTGACTCGCCGAACGACCCTTCAGACATTTTAGACCTTCCGCAAACCTTTACCCTCCAATCACGACCGGAGGGCAAAGCGAAGACTAGCTTCCCTTTAACCCCCAATGGTCCAATTCCATCATGAGGCTAGACCTTGTGCTCGCAGAGCAACTCGAATTCGCGTCGGAAGCCGCCAGATCCGATCTCAAGGTATGCGGAGATGCAGAAAATGACCGGTCCCATAGAGCTGCGACGTGATATGCGTGAGTATCCTGCAGTGATTCCCCGTATGCCCATAGGTGTCCTTTTTAAGGTTGTTTTGCTAGGAAAATAGATGGCCCTGGTTTACCTGGTGGTTTAATCATCTACCAGGGCCATCTATTTCCCCGAAAAGGACACCTATGCGTATGCCTGTATACCTCCCTAAAAAACACAAAATGAAAATGGCGTAGGTATGGTCTTTCGTTTTACCTGAAGGGACACCAACAGGCAATGGGAAAACTAGTGGGGTTTGTGTCTGAGACTTAGCCTAGGAGTGGGCAGCGGGGGAAGATATAAACCCCCTGCTTGTGGCTTGCTTTTGGGTCAATGCTACAAAAGTGCAAGGAGAGTAGGATCCATGCGTCCAAACTGTCCAAGTGATCTACATCGGAAGTCCATAGGCCGCCTTTTTCATGGCAGTAGTCTTCCATTTGCTCAATAGTTCTCATTTTGCCCTGCCGGTTATACAGGGAATCTATCACAATGGAGGTATTCTTTTGGTTTGTTCAAGCAGTGTTTGTTGAGACAGATGTCGGGTGCAAGGCCAGTGCCGGCGAGTCTATTTGCCTGAAACGGGACCTGAGGTTCTGCGTGTCTCGGTTGGAAACCTTTTCAATCAAAGATATTGTACACTGCACATGGAAGATATCAGAGAGTCCCTTTTAAAGGAACATGTTGGTGGACTGAAGGGTGGAAATTCCGATGTCATCTGCAAAAGACTTGATTGACCCGTAGCTTGTCCACAAACGACGCAGGTGTCAGGTCTTCCCATCCCCACCAGGAAAAAATCAGAAGGACATATGTTCATCCATAGGTGTCATTTTTATCGATTAGTTCGGATAGAGACAACTAGATGGGTTGTATGCCCCATGTAGAAGGGAACCCATCTATTTTTCCAAAAGGTCACCTATGTTTCATCCGTTGGCAAACAACTGCATGATCGCTGGGAGTGGAAATTATAATTCCATTTCTGTCCGTCACAGGGATGGTGTTTGAAAAGAAGTTCCACCTGTGGCAAGCTGTTGAATGAATGAAGCTAGGTTCCCACCCACTCCGGCCTCAAGTACCGTATGGAAGGTGAAAGGGTACCGTATGATGCCCCCATATCCATTGTGCATTTTTTGTTTGGAGCATTAAACCTACGCGTGAATCTACGTGCGACTTCTTACCAAATGGGTGGTACAGGCCTGCGCAGGTTACATTGGGAATCCGCGAGTTCCCCTGGAGTTCCCCCGCCATGCACGCACAAGGAATATTACAGCTGATGCGAATCCATAAGGTGCTGCTTTGTCGAAGGGGCATATATTTTTGCTACCTTTCGGACATGCAGGGGCAAAAGTAGACCTGGACCCGGCAGCAAGGTTTCTGAAAGAAGCCGTTTGTCACAACTTTTTAATGGAGGGGTGCGACCCTTTGGGTTTGGAGGGGAACCCAACAAAACCCGGGCACGAGTGGGGTCCATTCTGAGACCGACCTATTAATGTACCTGGGGGATCGTTTCGGGGCTTAAGTCGGACACCCTAGTTTGGATAGGGGGGGATTTGAACCTCTGGCTGGGTTAAATATGAAACCACCCTCCAACCACCAAATCACCAATCCAAATCACTATTTGGAACTATTGATCCACAAGGAGTTGATTTTTCCTGCATGACTGTGCCGGATCGCACTGTCCGGCAGGCAAAGAGTCCATTGCGCTGCTCTACTGGATGCTGGCACGTGAGGCCGATTGCAGCCAATGGCTCACTCTCTTTGTTTTGGGGGGGGGTCAGTTTTCGTGTGGTTCAATTGGAAACTCAAGGAAAACTGCGGTTTTCAGGAGTTCTCCCATTTGGAGGCAACCCCAGGTACGGGTTCATCCTTTCGTTTTAGTTTCCAAAGAGGCAGGTAAGCAGGACCAAGTCGAGCGCGGCGCTTGGTCTTTGTGTGGAGTCAGTGGAGTCAGTGGAGTCCGACTTTGGATTGAGTGCTGCGACTCGCCCCATCCAAGCCATTAACCCAATACATGGTTAAACCGAACCCCCTCCACCCTAAAACCTGTAAACCCAAGACCCTGAACCAATCCAAGACCCAAACCAACCACAACCGAAAAATCCTGAACAAACGAACCCTAACAAACCAACCAACATCCGCTCAACAGCAACCACAGCCCAAGCAGGGCTTCTGGGCGCACGGTCGCGCACTGGACACCTAGGGTCAGCTGGTTTTTGTTGGTTTCGGTTTCCTGGACATTTTTGGATTCGTGCGTTGGGAGTATTTTTATGCGGTTGAAAGCTGGGGCTCGTGACCGAGTGACCATAGACCATAGACCAGATATGTCGCGCAAAAGCGAACCCCTTTGCAGCAATCAGCAAAAGCGCCGCTGTCCATGTCTCAGTGTGGGCTTGCGCCTGTTCCTCCCGTCGGTTGATCCCGACGTCGGGATGTCGGCCGCAAACTCATGGAGGCTCCTTACTCTTGGCATTCTGAGTTTCGGGCATGCCCTGCCAGCCATTAAAGCTGACAGGAGAGTTTTGGAATCCTTTCCTTCTGGGGAGGCCTCAGGGTTGACCCAACCAGTGCTGGCAACTGGCGAGTTGTCATTCGGTGTCCTTTTTCAGACGACCACTTTTCGACCTGTGTGGAGCAACACAGTCCCCGTCCACTCCACGATTGTTGGACAGAGAGTATGCACCGTCAATGTTTTACCTAGTTAAGTAGCTTATAACTTATACCCTCCCACCAATTCACATGGAACCTGACAGGGGTTTCCTGGAAGACCATTTTCCTTCTACAGGGACCCTCTGCCAGGTTCCATATTCATTGGTGGGAGGCTTATAACGGTTCAAAGTCGACCCCCTGTCTCACGTACCTTGGCCACAGGCGGTTGAAGATCCACGGCTTGGCTCACTCTGCCAGGTTCTGTACCTGCGGGGCCGCGTGCCACGCAACGCACCATGGGCCACCCGAATGAATTCGCCGAATTTGGTGTGTTGCGGGCCACACGACATTATCTTGCTTGTGCGATAGGGAATGACCAAATTTCCGAGTGTTGGGAATGAACCGTTTTGGGATTTCCTTAAAGGAAACCATAAGGGGATGGCTTATAGAGGTTGAGAACCAGCAAGTGTTTTCACCTCGCAGGGCAACCATGCTGCGGATGGCTTTCTCCGAATTGTACAGTTGGGATGCATGAAGCCCTGTGAATACTGGGATAAACCGCACACCAACTGGTGCTGGATGTCCATCCACAGTGGGAAGCCATTGACTTGAGGCGTGGTTGCATACTTTGAGTGGAGGGTCCATAGGCACCTATGTATGTTTTCGATGCCACGCCTCGCTTGCCTTTCCAACAAACATCGCTTTACGCTGGTTGGAGCTGCTATAGAAGACGACATCCTTTCGGAGAGGCTCCGGGTGCACTTCTTTGTTTGTCGAGGGTAGCTATCACAGAGTCTCACCCTGGAAGACATGACCTCGGAACCCCCTTGGTTCGACCCCCAGAACGGGCAACACATTCCTTGTTTTTGCAGGGTGGATTTCCTTGAAGAGTCCCACTAGGGTGGACAACTGGCTAGTATGGCCCATTTTCCTTTGGTCTTCTTGTCGGAAACCGATGTCCTACCCTTTGGTTCGCAGAAAGCTGGCCAACTTCTCGTGGGCTTTCTGTGCACCACGCTATGCTTGGTGGGTCTCTGTTCGCCCGAGGACGTGATGGTGGACTCCTTCTTTTGGCGCGACCCCGAAGAGATCATGCAGCAGGCGAGGTGAAAGGGGAGCCTCGGGAAGCTCTGACCTTTAAGCTTTAGTGACTTTGGTGTGGGTCAAAATGAAACCACCAGGATACGGACCGCAGGTTTTAGTTTTTGTTTCCATTTACCAGGAACCGTTTTGGGTACCTATTTTTGACCCACACCCACTTAGTCGGCAAGATCATTTTAGCTGCAAACAATAGTCCAACCTTTTCTCCAACCCACTCAGGAAATGAGAGATGGAAGTTCGTCCAAGTGATTTTTCTCTCCCGGGTCTGAAACCGCAGGTTGAGGGAACTGAATTTGTCTTTCTGCCTGAGTAGTTTTTGCTACGAATGAACCCTGCAATATATCCGGCAGGTCGCGCCTGCAGCTTTCCAATCTCCGCTCTCAGTAGAGCGAAGTCACCAGATTTGGTTTGTGACTATTTGAGGAGTTCCTTATCTGAGTAGCTGGATCATTGTGGAGGGTTTCTGGTGCCATCCGATTTCCAAACCCCTTAGCCATACGGGTCACCCAAACTCCGGTGCCCTAAATATAGGTTAGTAAAGCAACCAGACTCAACCACACAAGTCATGTTCCTTAAACCAAACAGAACAATGGCAAATGACACCAGGTTCGGGGGGAAGTTTGTTGGTGTTGCCCTTGAAGTACCTATGGTTTTCGTCCCCCCTGACGGCCACGTGGAACCGACGCGACTCAGGAGGAGGTGCAGCAAGAGTGGGCCCAGCCGGCCCCGCCAGGGCCCGCCGCATGGGACGGCGCCGGACAAGGCGCCCCCCAAAAGAACGGCTTGCTCCGAAGCTCCCAAGACATCAGGGCAGAAAGCTTGGGGGGTTAGGTGTTTTAGGTTCCTTGCTACCTAACTTGTTAAAGTTTGGTTGTTTGTTTGTTTCGGAATTGTTGTCAAATGACCTGTTGTGTGGGCTTTTTGGTTGTTTGTTTTCATGCTTAGTAGGGGGCTGCAGAAAACACATATTTTTGCGGAGGCTGCCGGATTCAGCCGATGCACGTAGGCCACGCTTGTACCGCCATGGAAAGGACTGGTTTTATGTCCCATTTACCAGGGCAATGCATGTTTCCGAAAGGTCACCCATGTTAGGGTACCCCCAAAATGGCTTTGGTTTTCCGTTTGGTTCCATTTAAAACCACTAACCATGTTCACCCTCAAGACAATAAACACCCTCAACAAAAGTACCCCCAATTGGACACCTGCAAAAACATGTATTCGCTTACCAATATGTTTTATCTTCCCCTGTTGGTTTAATGGGAATCTATCACTACTGGAACTGTTTTGATTGTCCCAGAGGCCTTAAGCAAATGGAGGTTAGGGTTTGTTGATTTCAGGGTACCCTGTCTGCAAAATGATCGTGTCTACGGTAGACTAAGTGTGAAACAAGGTTTAGGCATACTTTGCTTGTATATACCTCGAGGTTGGGCCAAGATTTGGTGGATGAGGTTGGAGGGTACCAAGTTTGTTTTTGGCAAAGGACCCGGGACCCTGAAGGGGGGCTTAGAGCTCTCCTTGGAAGGGGTTGGACTCCGAACCTTCCTTTTGAGGTCCCAATATTATTCCGGTGAGGCCATATGTGCCGAGCGAGGGTTGTCTAAACTTGGAAACAGTCTCCGGTACCCTCAGCGACCAGCACGGATGCTTCAACAACTCACTCCCTGACTTCCGGAAAGAGTTGGGTGGCGGACAAAGAGTCTGGGCTCTTGGCCAACTACTTCGAAACTGGAGGATCTGTGGTTCCCCAGTTTTGGCGTGTGTTTTAGCTGCCTTCCTCTTCTTGGACGGCGTGTTGTGTCAAGACGAGGAAAACGTTCCCCGCGGCCCGGCCCGCGGGGCGCAGGCGGCAACTGGGACGACATCACCCAGGCGGCCCAGGGCGATGGCGCCTGGGACGCGCCGGCGGCGGACGACTGGAGCGCGCCGGCGGCCGGGGCGGCGGCAGCGGCCACTGGCGGGTGGTGAGGATTGGAGGTGCGGTGCACCGAGGGCAATGGTCCATTTGCTTAAAATAGTGGTTACCTTTTTCTTTTTTTCTTGTTGGTGCACAAAGTGAAGTTCCCCTCAATTAGTTGGTGGTTTGGATTAGTGTTCCATTGATCGTCCAAATTTGCCTTTGCTATTTTGTTTTTAATTGTCCCTTCCCATAAATTGGTGGTTTGGATTGGTCGTCCATTGATCTTCCATTTGCTGAAATGTTATTTAGTTTTTCAACAAAGTAACAACCCTTGTTGGTGCACCAATTGAAGTTCCCCTTAACTGGTGGTTTGGTCTTCCATTGATCTTCCATTTGCTGAAAAGAGTGTTTGTTTTGTTTCCTTTCCATTGTTGATGTCAAAGGGAATCGATCACTACTGGAAATTTGTTTTTAATTGTTGCAACCCCTCCTTAACCACCAAACCACCGGGCTCCGCACCACCGATCAGAGGGAAGCTGACCAAGGGCAATTGTTTTAGGCAACGGGCATTGGACAGGTAAACCATTGATAAGGGAACACAACTATGAAGTAACCAGAACTGTTTAGGGGCAACAATTGACCAAGGTTGGTTGCACAATCCCACTTCCCGAGTTCATGGACTTTAGTCACTCTTTGGGTTTGAACCTTTTTTGGGGTACACAACAAGTTGGGTTACCTTTTTGGCCAGTCCACTCAGGAAGTGAACAATTGATATTAAGGGAACATTCATGTGAAGTAAGCATAATTGTTTAAGTACGGGCAAAACTGGATCAAGCGATGTCGGTAAAGGCAACCAGGATCGCGTAGATAAGCGATGACGTGGGGATAGCCCACTTAGCACATGAGTTGTCCACGGTCGAGGGCAGAAAGTAATTCTTGGTGCCCGCTGTGGTGATTTCTTATTGCAAGTGAACCAGCTCTGAATGACTAGGGTAAGGTTGAACGCCAACTCAACATGGGGCTTGCGTCGCGGACCGAAGAAAACAGAAGAGGCGGAATGGCCGAAGGCCTGGGAAGGTTCCGTGAGAGTTCCTCTCTTGGTGATGTTTCGGCAGGAAGTTGCGCAGCGCTTTTGTCATATTTTCGGTCTGGGACTGATGGCAAGTTGCCGCAGATTCATTCGGAGGTTGTAGCTATCTCTTGGCTTGCCCTGCGCGCCATTTGCGGGAGGATGTCTTCCAGGATGCGCTCATGTTTTTGTGTTTTTTTCCTCCACCGGGGCGATTTAATGCCAACCAAGGCGTTGGCGTCGCGAGCATAGGTCGTGATTATAATCAATTCAGAAAGCAACCTGGTGCAAGCCAGTTTTCTTTCCCTACTTTAGTGGGTATCCAGCAATTGCGCTTCTTGTTTTTAAAGGGTTTTTTCCCCTGGCCGGCTATACAGGGAAGTTATTTGCAAGGCTTTTCGCGAATTATGACGTCCCTGATCCGCCAGAAGCCGCCGCAAAAGTCAGTTCTGTAGCTGTTTGCAAACGGAAATCGCCGCAACAATTACGAACAGTGCAACGTGCTTTGATCACAAAGTGCACAGACCGTCTTATTTGAACACGGCCTCGTCGGACGGCTGCGAAAGAGGACTTCGCACTCAGCTGGACTTGCCACGAGGTTAAACCAGGAGCCACCAATTCGTGTTTTTGCCCTCAGGTTTCCTTTATCGCCACCGCAGTGGTAATTACAGACTGGCAGGGCAAGATTCCAATCCATTTCCATTGGAGTCGGTTTTGCTCAAAAAGAGTGTGGACATGTTGCAACGCGTGGAATCCCTTGGAGGCTATGGCACCAATTATTGTTCCTTTTGGTGAGATCCTCAGAATGGTTTTGGTGGTGCTTTCTGCCAGGGTTAGTTGCAGCTTGATTGAAGGGAAGCTTTTGGCCGAATTCCCATGCGGTTCCCGGGCAAGCCACTAGAATAGGTCACCACTTGTGGTTCTTTTGCCTGTGTTCGCGGCACCACCAAGATCGGACTTTTGGAGATTTGGGTGGCAGGGGTGGGGGTTCGGGTTTGGTGGGTTTGGGGAGGGTGCGAGGTTGCTGCGTGGCTTTTTATCGACCATACTGGAAACCCGACGAGCGAAAAGGGGGCAGCAAAGAGGAGTGAGATGGTTTTGGGGGTCCAGGTTAACCCTTGCTGGGGTATATATTCCACATATTTGTGTACGTACATTTACACAAGGAACATGGAATCACTCTTTGCCACATTTTGAGTTTCGACTCACAGACCTCGCAGACTTCGCCAGGCAGTGCTTTTTGGCTTCATGGCAGCGGAGCGACCAGAAAAAAACACGGCAGCCGAGAATTGGGGCGTTGGAACTAGGGAGCCCCTCCAGGAGCTTCCGTATTGCCTGGAGGCTGGGGTCTTGGAGCCCATTTCACGATTGATGGTTTCAGTGCCACTGAATTCACACCAAAATCGTAAGTGTTCCTTTTTGGTTTCCCTTCAAATCAACCCCCACCTAAATGATGGGTCCCTTATTAAATCTCAGACGCATGTGAACTTGTTGGGTAGGTATGGGTTTTGGGAGAATTAGGTTTGAAAGTAGATCGGCCCTACTATTCAACCCCCATGAACATATTGGCCCCAATTTAGATGATCAACGTCCTCAAATGAATGGTACTTATATCATGAATCCCAGGTAGAGGTTTTCCTGTTTCTCCAATGAGATGAAAGATTGGCTCGAGATTGGTGCGTGGAGACCCTAAAGAATTTCCATTTCTTCTTTTTGTTGCCGGGAAGAAGATGTGGGTGGCTCCTCTTTTGTTGATGCTAGCCTATTTTTGGGTGGTTTGGAAATAGATCAAAAGGACAACTACAAATGTTGAAGGTCCCCTATTCTGAGACAGACCCATGACAGTTGCCTTGGGGAAGAGAAAGATGCATAGTTTGGGGAGTATCCTTTGCGTTCAGAAGATGTGGCTCGATGCTAGCCACCAGATGGCATGTCGCGTCACTGCCGCGCTTGGAAACCAATCACTGCACGTGGTTTTGGCCGTGCCCGGACACCCTGCCCAAGTCCTGGGAAGTTTCGCCAAAGCCGGCAGTGGGCAGCTTTTGCATCTGGATCTTTTCTCTGCCGCGCGAGCGGCCGGGAACGGCGGAGCGCTGCGGCTAGGTGTGCTGGGGGATGGGGATGAGGATTCAGAGCTCGAGGCTTAGGATTGGGAGCTAAGCGATGAGACGGCGACAATGCACGACATAGAGATGTGGGCATGGCGTTTGAGCGCTGGCCACTCGACAGACCAGAGAATCACCAAGATATGCACCTCATGAATTTCAACAACTGGCTTGTCTTCCTCCTGACCGATTTGCGTAGCTGCTCCGAGTCGGCAAGTGGCTCGAATTCAATTTCAACTTGGCTGCTGAACGAAGTTCAATCCAAAGCTTCAAGCATCCCTGGCATGATTGGACTCAAGATTCAGGGATCAAGTGCAAGGGCCACTTCAATTGAGGATATTGGCGGCTTGGCGTGGGGTCCAGACATGGCAAGTGATGTTGACATTCTGATACTGTTTGAGCAAGCTTCGCAAGATCTCAGAGCTTGTTTGCGGAACTACGCAGAAGAAGTCGCGGCAACGCTACAGGCAAAGCAATCCAGAGGGCAATGGGACATCAGCACTGGTCGATTTGGACACCTTGGATGGTCCAACAAAGGAGGCACCCTGGCTGGAAATGGATGTGATTCCGGGGCTGCGAGATACTAATGGTGGGCACTGGGTTTTGGATAGCAGAAGTGGCAAGGTGCTCCACAACAATCCAGCAGAGTTGGCAGAATATGTTGAGGCCAAAAGCAAGTCTGCCCCAGGGTGGGCTGACGTTGTCGTCCTTTGCAAGTTTTGGAACAAGCATCACGCAGTCGTGTGCGGGGATGGAGTGAAGCGATCTCCGCTCACCTCACTTCACATCGAAATAGCTCTCACCTGCATGGAAGAGCCCATACCTTCACGGATAGATGAAGCTTTTCACGCAGCTCTTCTTACCCTTCGTACCCGGCTGTATGCTTCACCCGTGCCTGCCAGTTGGACTGGCCGACCAGTAGCATCTTATTTAGAGGAGCATGCGGTTCGCGCCGAGTGGAGCGCGAGTTGAGCCGCGTGCAGCCTTTTTTTCTGCTTCAATAGGGAGCCAAAGTACAGAGTCTGACGCGACGCGTGCCATGGCTCGCTTTGAACAAGTCCTTGAGCAGAACGGGATTCGGCTTCGACGACAATGTTCCAAGCTGGTGGAGGGCGGTTCTTTCACCAGGATCTGGGTCCAAACCTGGGAACTTGGAGAAGAGAACACCGAATGTCCAGGCTTGGAGCCGCAATTTTGGAGCCCCAAGCGCCATTCCTCGGTTGTTGTTGGGACACATTTTACATTATTTTGCTTCGCTGGGCTGCTGAAATTTAATTGTTTGCTCCCCTTTCAACGTCTACCACGACTCAAGGTTGCAGTTGAAGCTGCGTTTGGGACCAGGATGTTTCCGGGGGTCGTGGGACGTCTCTTAAACATCCTTGGGGGGCCAGCCCACTGGGATCCACTTTTGATATTCAATGGTGTGCAATACGCAAGGCGTGAGTCGTTCCCGGATTTGAGGGCTTGCATCCTGAGGCCTGAGCATGCGCTATGTCCAAACTAAGCTGCAAAGTTAGGCTGAATCTAGACGATTCGTGTCGAGATGTGGTGTGCAAGGAGTCTCTGTGTGTGTGTGTGTGTGTGTGCGTGTGAGTGATCACCTGTTTGTGCGTGCTGAATGATGTGCTGTGCTTGGCCCAGGCCCTTTTGCGTGAAGGTGTTGGTTCGCTGTCGGTTCGCTATGCTTTTCCTGCTACATCACTTGGGTTTTGCTGGCTTTCCCTGATTGTTTTTGCTTTCCTTTACTTAGCTTTCATTCCTACAATTTCAATTGTTTGCTTTCCGTTGCTTGCCTTTTGCTTTGCGTTGCTTTGCTTTGCGTTGTTTTGCTTTGGTTTGTTTGTTTGCTTGCTGGTGGGTCTTCTGTTGTGTGCTGCGTGGGCCATTTTTGCGG